GTACATTGTGTACACTTAATAGATAATTTACAATTGTTTAAATTTTGAAAAATGATTGAGTTGCATCTCCGTACATAGCATTCAATTTCTTTGATATTCAATTTGAATAATTATTTGCTTGTCTCATGTAAATTTCAATCGATTGCTTTAATAGGGTTGAAATATTAAACGCAAATGAAATGAAAATCATTCGGATAGACTAGAATAAAACTTGTCTGTGTGCAAAAGAGTATGTGTAGCCTTATGTTTGTGACTAAGATTGATCGGCTCGCTCTCACTCCAATTTAGATCACTTATGTCACCAATATAATTGAAGGTTTTAACTCTAACTCTTTTTTATGCTTATCTCTTTCTTTACTTCACCCTATGAACACTTGTTAATTCACTTGTTATTGATTGTCGATATCATAGTTATTCTTTAATTCATCTAACTAGTTACTGAATTGGATCGATTTCACGATGTTCATTTACTATTAATTGATCTAAGTGGCAAGCAAATAAACATCCTCAAGTCTTTTTTTGATATGCTCGTCAACTGATAAGCTTGAATGGCATCGCGAGTTCATCTTACTAGGTAAACGGAACGAAGAGCAGTGACTCAGTAACACGATAGGCTATTCTAATCCGTTTGTCCTAGGCCCTGCTAACTATATCAAGAAGTGTTGGTAAGCCGTAGAGTGTGTATTCTACAATCACCCAGAAAATATGAGTGGCCTAAGCACACAAATCAAGCTTATTTACACAATGATAGAAACACCATTAGGAGAGCCAAAAAATAGAGTACTCTAACAATCCATCAACCCATGACAGTCAGGGATTTTCCGAGGGGGGAATGTAAGCTGAAGGTCAACATGGAACTTCAGAATTTCAGAATAAAATTGCAGAATTAGAACCTTTTCAAGTGAGTTCTGGGGATCTAACGTCCCCAACATCTTCAAATGACCTCCATCCAAGATTTTAGCTTTTTTCCGATCATTAGTATATCCATAACTGGTATCTATATCAATACCAATGTTGTATCTTTGCTTGAGCCAGTACGCGTAGACATAAAAACAAACAGATCTATCCTACTGAACAATTAGAAAACACATAATTCTATGATTTGACTGTATCATACTGAATGATAGACATTTCATGATATGCTTAATGATGCAAGTATTGATCAGTTGTCAGAAAAAATAATTATTTTGATCAAATTTTGTTTATGTGATAACAGGACGATTTTTTAATAACTGAAATTAATTGATAAACAATTGATTGTATCTAAACATTGCTGGATGTGGTTGCTTCCAGACAGTAAATGCAAAAATACACATTTATAACAGACGTTTGATATTTTTTTTCATTTAACACATACAAACGAATCTGAAGTCGATTTGGATCATGCAATTTAACACAATGATATAGTGTTTTTGTAGCATCCCATCATTCATTCACTGTACTTTCGTTTAAATTATTCGATAATTGTATCGACCATAATTTTGTATTTGTAATACTCTTCAAGAAGATTTGGGATGAGGAACAATTACCATTAGATTGGAAAGAAGGATACCTCATCAAAATACAGAAGAAAGGCGATCTCAGCAAGTGTGAGAACTACAGAGGCATCACTCTTCTTTCAATACCAGGCAAAGTCTTCAACAGGGTACTGTTAAACAGAATGAAGGACTTCGTAGACGCCCAACTTCGAGATCAACAGGCCGGATTTCGTAAGGATCGATCATGTACTGACCAAATTGCTACATTACGGATCATTGTGGAACAATCAATTGAATAGAACTCACCACTCCACATCAACGTCATCGACTACGAGAAAGCATTCGATGGCGTGGATAGGAAAACACTGTGGAGGCTTTTTCGACACTACGGTGTGCCTGAGAAAATAGTTAACATCATACGGAATTCTTATGATGAATTCAAATGAAAAGTCGTGCACGGAGGACAGCTAACAGACACGTTCGAGGGGGAGACTGGTGTCAGGCAAGGTTGCTTACTCTCACCCTTTCTTTTTCCCCTGATGATCAATTAGATTATGAAGACATCAGCTTCTGGAGGGAAGCACGGTATCCGATTTATAGCTAGGACGCAGCTGGACGATCTGGACTTCGCAGATGACTTGGCTCTTCTACCGCACACGCAACAACAAATGCAAGAGAAGACGACCAGTGTAGCAGCAGCCTCTGAAGCAGTAGGTCTCAACATACATAGAGGAAAAAGCAAAATTCTCCGATGCATCACAACATGCACCAACCAAATCACTCTTGATGCAGATGCCTTGGAAGACGTTAACACCTTTACATATCCGGGCAGCATCATCGACTATCAAGGTGGATCGGATGCAGATGTGAGGGCACGGATTGGCAAAGCAAGGGCTGCATCTCTACAGTTGAAAAATATCTGGAACTCCAAACAACTTTCAACCGAAACCAAAATCAGGATTTTCAATACAAATGTCAAGACAGTTCTACTGTATGGAGCGGAAACATGGAGAACTACCAAAGCCACCATCCAGAAGATACGAGTATTCACTAACTTACTTAAGGTTCGTTGGCCAGACACCATCAGCAACAACGAACTGTGGGAGAGAACAAACCAGATTCCAGTGGAGGAGGAAATAAGGATGAAGCGGTGGAAGTGGATAGGACACACATTACGAAAAGCACCAAACTGCGTCACAAAACAAGCCCTCACATGGAACCCTCAAGGCAAAAGGAAAAGAGGAAGGCCAAGGAACACATTACGCCGAGAAATAGAGAAAGATATGAGAGGAATGAACAAACATTGGACAGAACTGGAGAGGGAAGAGCAGGACAGAGTTGGTTGGAGAAGACTGGTGGGTTTCCTATGCTCCGTTGGGGGTAACAGGTTTAAGTAAGTAAGTAGGTAAAACTTTGAATGCAGTATCGATTATTGTATATTTGATTGTGTATGGATGCTTACTCGCTTATCACATGTTTAGCCTATTGTTGCTTGACTATAAATACTTAGTCACTCATCAGCTCATGGAGAGTTGGCTCATTCTCCTTCTCTAATTCGCCTTGTTTTGCTCGTACGCTTCCCTTCTCATGTTTGTCTGTATAAATGAATGCATTTGGCTTCGTACTACCGCCGTCGCACAAACGGGGTTGGCCTAAGTATAATAAACGGAAGTGGATAGGAAGATTTACTTCATTGAACACTCGATCATTTGTCTACATTGAAGTCCTGTAGTGAGCCGCTAAATTTTGACACAAAACACCTTGGTATACTATTACAGTCATTCAATAGTTGTAACAAATGATGACTGTCAATGAAGTGTATTTCTCCTCGATAAATTTACTTCAGGTTTTTTCAAATTAATCATCCATAATGACAAGTACGTGAAAATATCCTGTATAACGATATCATTTACTGATTCTGTATAACTGTATTTAATCAATGTGTGACTAGTCAATAATAAGGTAAATGATATCTTCAAAATAAAATCTTTTTTCTCTCCTCACTGTGTTATTTTTTTCTTTTCCAATTCAAAATGGCTTATCAATTTAGATTAAAAATACAAACTGTAGAACCTGAAGGCAGTTTGATAAACCAATAAATAAAATTTGAAAACATTGATTCAATGAGTAGGAAGGGAGTTTGATATTAATAAATTATTTTTTTAGTTCTCTTAGTTCACACAAATACAACTCACATTTATTTCTATATAAAATAATTTAAAAATAAAAAATTTTAATCAGTTCGAAAGTTTAAATGTAACACGCCCAACTGTTTAAGATTTTCCACTTAAATAAATAAGTGTATAAGAAGAAATTGAGTCATAATGCCTATGATAAAAATAAACGCCTGTACTAGATGCATCTATAATTTTGAAAAACGTTGGATAGCTTACACATGGAAAGCAGAACTATGCTTCTTAAAATAACAAACATTAGAATGATTATAACATCCAGCTGGATGTATTCTGATGGTTGGGCAGTTGTACAAAGATATTAACTGAGGAAGTCTATATAGAGTCATTTTCTTTCTTTTTCTATGAAGTGTCAAAATATCGATTGATTTCAACTTTTTTGTTAATAATGAATTGATTAAAAGTATCATAAATTTTCATTGAAAAGTTACATTTAACATATTTTTTTAAAGATTTTTCTTGAATAACTAACTATAAACTGACAGTGATAAAATAATTATTAGTTGATCAAAAAAATGTATACAGCCTCGACGTCGTCAAGGATAACTGAAGTGATCAAAGATAAGAAGATGTATATATCTATAAAGCCTGACCATGTAGAAAGGGATATAAAATGTAGCGTAAAATCAATTTCAGGCTTAAAATATTAACACTTTTATAATTATGCGTAAACATCCCAATGGCTAGCTTGATATCAATCTGGGTGTTACTGACTTCAGTATTTTCTCGTTCTTTTTGTACTAGACATAAATATGTATGTTCAGTATAGTTTTTGAAGCTATCTACACTATGAAGCTGATCAGTATATGGGATGTATGATGTAATTAGGTATTTTTGAATACATTTACTTTGGAAATTGGATTTATAAACCTCATTCAGCATAAATTTGTTAGTTTACAATGTTATTGGGTCACATTACATGACATAAAACTATCGAGAACACTATCGCTTTCAATAATTCTCAAACTTTACTCGAACTAGGATGTAAGCTATCTTCAAGTCACAGTATTTAACATGTGAATTATTCTTAATCTGACGTAATAAGTAATTATATTCAAACTACTGAATAACTGAAAGTAACTCTATCTAATGATGGAATGTGTATGAATAAAATCAACTAAATTGTTTATTGAGGTTTTCAATTGAATTCCTTCTGAAAATTAGGTTATTTCTTTTATTGTACTTGTGTCCTCTGTTTTTGGTCTATTTTGATTGGACAAAATTATTGTTACGCTTATCAAACTTTATAAAAGTTATATTACCTTTACGACAAAAAAATATAAATCCTAGTTTAGTATTAGCTTTTGTAAAATACAATAATAAAACTTACGTGGTGTAGTAAATCGTCTTAAGACTGTTTCAAGAAATATATTTTGTGGAGCTACTAGTCCTCTACGTGAACCAGCCATCATACATTAAATATAAGTAAAAGTTGACTGTTCTCATTTACTCATTCATTTATGTCCAGAATATGTAATCTGAAGTTCTTCTATGTTCATGTTTTAACGAATTCCGAGACATGAAAATGGATTATAAGAATATGATTCACTGTAAAGAAATCAAATTATGCTTGAATAATGTATAATATTTTAAATGTGAATTGTTTATCTAAATATTCATTCTATTTTGCAGAAATTTAAATGATTCTGTTTTCGTAATCTGATTGGTGTATGTTATGTTATCACAGTCTCAATTGATTGGTCGGTCAATATAATCGGTTTGTTAAAATCAAATTTTAGATACAAGACATACATACTTATTGTAAGAAAAAAAAACACAATCTAGAGACAGTTTGACACAATATTAAGGACATTAATTCAAAATGATATATTGTAGAAGAATATTGTTGCCTAGCAACCTTATTTATTTAATTATGTATGGATATAAGTTATCTTGGATAAATTTCATCTATTTTAATAATGATTAATATAGGAACACAAGTTGATTTGAGAAGAAATCAGAGGAGAAATAGCTTTTATTAGTTATTGATGATTAATCATGGGATCTTAGATGCGTTTGAAGAAAAAGTTTATAATGGATACTGTGAATTATCTCGAAAATAAAACCGAAGAAACAATAGGTAATAAGTTTCAATTTCATAATCAAAGTGTCCTCAACAGTGTACACAGCTAATAATAATGTTAGAATTTAACCTCAAGGTGATGTTTCTAGTTAGATTTAAATGTCTACTATGATCAGGAAGTCTGAATGTAAATCATTAGGTCAACTCAGTGTTTATGCTTTAAATCTTGACAATCTGATAGTTTTCTGTTAATTGTTTCAACTGAAGTATGATCCAACTACTACAGAGTTTAATTCATAAGAGCATGTGATAAAACTAGATTTAAACATTGGAACTTGAGAAAATCTACAGTAGCAAGTAAAACCAACCAGAAAGTACTAAGTGATTATTTTCATACCGTTTTGTGTCAATAATAAAAGTTTTATTTCACTAATCGAATATAGTATGAATAAAGTTCTACACTGCAACATTTTCATTCCAAGCTTCATGTATTCAACCGCTATGATAATAGACTCATTTATGTGCAAACGTCAAGAGCTCGCGAATATGACAGATTGAAAGAATTTTGCCTATATTCTTCTTACACCTATGCTGATCAGTTTCGACGAAACTTCACATAAAATCAAGTTGTATTTGGCAACGAGTATTTAAAGTTCCAATATGTAAACGAATCTTTTCGATGAGTGTGAATGCATGCGAAAATTAAATTAAATATTTAAAATTTTATATGATTAAAATGAATCAAAATTATACTGCAATGGAAATTTTGTTTTTAAATAATGTTATTTTAAAAATTTGATGACAAATTTTGTTTGGGAAATTAAAAATTAGTCTATTCAATAAATGTAATATGAAATACTAGTTGATAGTAGCTTTTTTTTTATAAATGATTACAAATTTGTAATTGTTTCCACAATTCTGATTAAAAATTAAATTCCTACATTTTTGAAAACTGATGATCTACAATATTATTTTAAATATATATCTAATCATGTTTCATAATTTCGTGATTTTTTTCTTTGAAGAAGCTCAGATCAATATGTTGAAAGAAACATTGGAATTAGTGAAATTAGTTTATTTGTGTATAACATCCAAATAACTGTAGCTCAACTTGTATTCAACTGTATTCATACTGTATTTCATGTATACATCAAGTGTAATTAGACGAATTACAAAATGAAAAGTGACACTTTATTCTGATATCAATTCTTGTTATTACGCTCAAATACTACGTGATTGAAAGTGTATAAACACTTCAAATTATTGATTGAATGAATATTAGAAAAATAATTCACAAATTCAATTACTATTTGAAAAAGAAATAGAAACAATGCGGAGTAAGAGAAATGTTTCTCGCCAACCATCTAATTTACTAAGCTTTTGACAGTTTTATTGACAATTCATTTGTATAAAATAGTCAAAAATAAGATAGGAAATTGATTTACCTTTAATAATGATTTTTAGAGTTAATGGGAATTTTCAATTGATGAATAAAGATACTTGATAGACAAAAAATGATGAGAATGCCAAAAACAGAACACGTGAAACAGATATGTGAATGATAGTTTCTCACGTAAGAAATATGCAGAATAGACGAAAGAGCGCTCGGAAAATGTGTCAAAACTATTTTTAAAAAATAAAGGTTTGTTGATTGTACCTGTGAATAAGCTTGAAATGGCTAATTATCGGATCCTCCGCTATGGAAACATTTATCCAACTTCTCTAAAGACCAATTCGTCCAACTTAGTCTAAAATTTTAAAATCAACATTCTGGTAAAGGCAGATGATTAGAGTTGTTTGGATGTTTAATACTAGAACTGCTGGCTGATATACATTCATTTTTCCATGATTATACTAGATGTTGATCGTTAGGGAAATGGCGAAGTTTGTTTAGATACTTTTCACTAGTTTTAAAGAAAATAAAACTGTTAGGGACCAATTTAATTGAATCTGTACAAAACATTGCAATTATAAAAAAAATCACGTATTCATTCGAATACATTTTTGATGTATGGTCAATATGACATTACAGATATAGTTAACAAAAGCGAAATGACTAAGAATGCAGGTTTGGTACATGTTCACTTCAAGATAGAATATCCAGTCGAACGAAACCACTAACAAAAACACTCAAACATTTAACATAACTTAGTTCTACTAAAAATGTTCAAAATCGAAACGGCTAGGATAAATATTCCGACTAAGTAATTGCAATCAAATATTTGATTAAGTAAATCAGACTAAGCGTTTCTTGGAAATAAAATTGACAAGCCAAAATTTATTAAAAGATCCATAAACCTCATTTTAAAGGTAAAGCTATTAGGAATGAAGTTTGTTCAAATAATGGAGGGAGAATAACATGAGTTCAATAATAGGATTGTGGAGATTGTTAAGTTTCAAGGAAGTCATGAACCGATTAATGCTATAACACCTTTGAAAACATGAAAGTATTGAGTTACTGTTTCATTTGAGTATATGGCTTCGTAGCTATGCACATCCAAAACTCCACGGACGTCAACAATTATATATATATATATATATATATATATATATAAATGCGGCTGTTAACCGCTGATGTGAAATCATGAAATTAATTTAATTGGTATTATCTCATCCAATTTATTGTTTGGGATGCATTTAAATTTATGGCAGGTACGAATCATATCAAATACTTGTTCTCATTTTATTTGTTCATAGGAAAATGTCTGAATTATAGAGATGTTTAATTCACAAAACTGTTACATTTAATACAAAATCTCTGCATACCGAAAGTTTGACTGAATCTAATTTGAAAAAATCTTTCATTAACTTATTAGTCCTATTTGAATTTGAAAATACAAAATTCAACAGAAACATCTCTTTCCGGCAATTTTAATTTTCAAACTACTTATATACTTTCAAAATAAGTTACTCACAGAAAAGTACAATATAGAGTATATTATATCAAAACTTATTCGTAAAAGTATGTTAGTATATGAAAAGATATTGAAATAAATTTACCTCAATACTATAGTTTATTTGCTAACCGCCTTTTATTATACAATGTTACTTAGCGATTATATCACACATCAACTGTCAATTGATTTCCGTATTAACTCATCGACAAGAACTAACATAAGTTAAAGTTTCTGTTCAAGCAAAATATGGTTTACTCTGGTTAATGAGTAAAAACTCAAACTTAAAATTGAAAGCAATTTTCAAAGCATAAATTTGATATCGGTACAGCGAATTGTTGTTGTTGTTTGTTTTGTTTTCGGTAATTTGATTAGTTTTATGTTTCTCGTTGCTGTGACTTATTCGCGGTGAATTTGAGTATTAAATTTTCAAAATTTTATTACATCTATATATATATATATATTTTTTATATGCTTATTAACTTGTCATAGCTTTTTTCTTTATCATCTGTATAAAATCATAACATAAATTACTGGTTCATAACATAGAAGGATTTTATTCATTCATGCCTATTGTTTATATGTTTAGATTGTATATATATATATATATATATATATATATATATATATATATATATATATATATATCTGTATTAGATAAATTTTAAAAAAAGTACATAAAACACAATTAATCTGCGTGAATTAGCAAAACTAATCAATGACCGCAAAAAAATATTCATAAAATTGCATTCAAAAAGTTTCTGTGAAACTAGCAAATGATGTGTTCTATCCTAACGGATACAGTGAATACTGATTTCGGTAGGTAGAGTTTTAAATAATCATGAAACATATTGTTGGGGATGTTAGATCCCCAAAACTGGCTTGTTAAATACCTTATTTTGGATTCCACGTCTGCCAGCATAGGCTGACCAGTTGACCTTGAGATTTCAATTCCCACCAGGAAAACCCATGGCTGTGATTGGCTGCTGTGTATTTTAGTGTGCTATTTTCTTAACTGTCCCTAGGACGTTTCTATTATGTATAAATAAACGAGAGTTGTATGCTTGATTGTACTATGATTGCTGGATGTTTGTAGAATATACTTTCTACGCTTACAAAGCCTTCTTACCCTAGTTCGGGATTCAAGGTAGCCTACCTGGAAGCTGGTAAAAGTCTCGTTCGCGTTTATCGACTAAGGTAACTCGTAATAACCTCAAGCATACTAAGTGACGAGCACAATACATATATGAAGTGTATCATAGTTTTCAGTTGTCTCTCAGATAATTTGATTATGTAAAGTGAAATAGTTTCAGAATGAATTTATTTAACTATGTGGCTTTTAGTTTTGTTTTCCACATTATATTTAACAAATAACTATTTAACTACATTTCAAGACGAATTTAAAATAATATAACACCTCGAAATTCAAGTAAATTAGCAATCTTGTCATCTTTTTTAACTATTCATATTGTAAAATTATGTTTTAGTAGAAATAATACAATGTGTATCTATTATTCTGATTTTATTTTGTTTTTTATTCAAACTGAATGCTTAATGATTGGATGAAAAGTATGGGAAAATGTTTGTTATCGTTTATTCGACATATAAGGCTTATTATATCAAGTAACATAATGAACAGTGACGTTTTATAAGTAGGTTATTGTTACTTGTTGTCTCTTCTTAATATTTTCATTTAAAATTGCGCTATATTGCTTATTGCGTCATTGAATGAAGAGCAGAGAAATATCTACCTAAAAAATTCAATTTTTGATGAAATTACTTACTAACCATGTACTTATTGCGGTTTATAGGAAAATGGAAAGAGATTACATCATGAATAAGTTTTATATTTTAATTATCTAGAGATTTCAAATGTGAAATTATCTAGAGAATGTTTTATCTAAATACTAACAATGCATAAGAGGATGAAAATTATGTACGGACAGAAAATGTGATGCATGTGTTGTCCAATCGATGACTATGAAGAAGAAATGAAAACCGTAAACGTCAGTTTAGCATAGTTATTCAAGTTATAATAATAAATAAGCTAGAAGATACTTAATATTGGCTTAAATTTGAAACATATACGATCAAAATATGTAACACTGACTACCATCGTTTACATTTAAACGCTACTAATTCATGGTGTCATGAGCTACATTCACAGTAAATATAAGCTTTAAAATTCACTTCAACAGAATCTGAGTTAAGGCATTAAATATAAGATAAGCATAATATCAACAGCTTATTACATTGTCCCATTATTTTCCATCAAACAATCGGGCAGTTTTTGATTGTTTATTTGCTTCTAGAAGCACAGCTACAACCATCTGTAAAACAACGATCCCGAATGCTCTGTACCGGTTAATGCTTGTGAAAGTCCACTCTTCTTCGCAAAGTGCTCTCATATAGTCACGCGTCCAAAGTCACTTCGAAGAAAGTCTTACTCACTGCCTTCTCATGGCGGGGTGTTTTTTCAGAAATTGAGCTGATTGATAGCGAATGTCCAGCGCTTAGACTGGGAAGTTAAGTATAAAGAATATACCTAGGAGAGTTGGAAAACTTTAATTCCAATTCAATGGTTCACATAAACTCCTCAATACAAGGAAAAAATAGCTTATAAACCTAGTGCTAGTCGTCAGCTAATATCGGGCTCCTGATGTTGGTCTACTAACTCGTAAACTATACCTCTGATTCAAAGACTTCAAGAATGGCTCTCTAAGAAAATCATCTGCTCTGGTTTGGACATTCCTACACTGTACCAGCCCATACATAAAGTCAGTGATTTGTATGGTACATATATATTTTCGTACTCCTTTGTACACAACTTTTCTGGTACAAAATTAACTATCCATATATTGATAATATTATCATAACACCAATAAATGTTAAAGATATTACATTTTGTCAAGAATATGTAGCAAACAAAAGCGAACCTTGAGATTTATTCTACTTTTATTTAAAAGTGCATAAGGCTTTTACTACAATAAAATAGAAATATATGAATACTAAAATTTATCCCACTAACTGAATACGCAATAAGTCAAAATTATAAAAATTCGTTTAGTAAAATAATGAAACAGAATAGTAGGTATAAACAGGAATTTCCCAAAGAAAACATATTAATTTTGCTTAGATATTAATTTATCAACTTCATATCCTTTTCAACTGAATATGTCTTGGGTTGTTTGGTATTTCTATCAATGTTAGATGAAGTTTCGGATGTAAAATGGAAGTGCACTTTTTAATATACACAAAATTATAAACCTCTCAAAAATACTAATTTCCCATTGTTAGAGATAAACGATAGCAAACAGATAAAATTCAATACTTGTTGGGGATGTTAGATCCTCAGCACTCGCTAGATAAATATCTTTATTATGGATTTATTTCATGGACCGATCAGTTGACTTTAAGATAACATTACCCACCAGGAAAATCCTTGGCTGTGATTGGCCATTGTGTATTTTAGTGTGTTATTTTTGTAACTGTCCGAAGGACATCTCTATGGAGTATAAATAAATGCTATTTGAGTGCTTGATTTCATTGTGTGCTGGCTGGGTGTTGTAGAAAACACTTTCTACGCTATATCAAGACTTCTTGCTGATATAATTGGGACAATCGGATCACAGTAGCGTACCTAGACGCTGGTTCATTGTTTTGTACTCGTTTTTCGACTAAAGTGAACCATTAATAGTATAAGCATACTTAGAGACACGCATAACATTATTAAATTGTGTTTTCAAGAAACAATTGATGATTTCCTAAAAGCATATAATAATATCAGTAAACAAATGAAAAAACACTTTATTTGTACAATCAAAACAAAACCATATTGACTCAATAAAACTAATTGAATATTTATTATTTTATTTACTCAAGAGTATTGAAACAGTTACATGATTAAACTAGATGAAAAAACTGTTTTATCTATCACAGAATAACTAAAAATATTATTAAATAATATGACTAATGAAAATCTTCAGTTCAGCATGTTTTTTAACGATCAATAATAAGAAAATAAGAACCGGTTTAGAAATTTTAAGATCTCATAATAAGATTTGCACGATAGTCATCATTATCAGTTGAACATCAAAGATCAGAATGATTCACTAAACATAGATGATGGTTTTATAATAATGTAACTATTTAATTTTTATGCTGTGATTTTTCACAACTGTTTTTGTATACGATACTTGTAGGATCCAAACTGAGGTTTGGACCGAGGAATAACTGTCTAAGTAATTGAGATACGCGTCTTGCCCAGTTTAAAACCCAAAACAAATGAATTGGATAAATAACGGTTTTAATATTCAACATAAATATAAATATACATCATTACCTAAACAAATATTACCACTCAGTTATTCCACCAACAATTGTTCAATTATTCAAATCAATAGCAACAAATAAATGTTATCCCATCCCTTGTGGATAGATCAGATTCGTTCGACGGATAATATTTGGTTGCTTTATAACACAGTGTTTCCTATACTGGAAGAGTGCTTCAATTCACAATCAAAATGCACAATTCCAGTCCAAGCAAGCAACACAATTAAAAGAGGAACAAATCAATATGGCTGTCGCCATGACTAAGTATCAGCTTAAACAACATGAATGCAGTTCAGAAAGAAACATAGAAACTTATTTATGGCAGAAGAAATAGAAACCATAGTGAAATACAGATATTATAATCTCAAATGGAATCGAATAGAATTACAAGATGTAGAACTGAAGGGATCAATAAGAACAAATTACAAATGTGTAGATGGAGGGATTTTCACAAACAAAGCCTTCAAAAATGAATCTTACAGTAATGTTGCAATCAATTTTTTTTAAAACTTCATTTGGATGTTTGTTTTACAATGTTTATTGTACTCAGAAAATAGTACTAACCGTCATTATTCCATTACCCTAGAGTTTAAAGGATTTCAACCAATCACTTGAACCGAACCCGTATATTCATATGAATAAAGCTAATTCAATATTATGATTTGCAATTTATTCGTTAAACTAACCAAGAACTAAGTAATTAATCAATCGTTTCAATCATTTAAAATGCAGGGTAATTATTAGGTAGAGAAATTTGTAAAAATTTAAATAATTGCATGTTCAGATTTCATTTTATTACAAATGAACATTGAAATGAAAATAACAAATGAATTCATTTATCAAAATATCTCATATGAATTAATTGTATGTGAATACTATTGACTAATTTATTTAACGTGTTTATATATTTGTAATAATCATGAATGGTAATCATATGACTACAATGATTACTTTAATTTGTATTGAATTCATAACAAGTAAGTGGATTTTTAATATATATATATATATATATATATATATATATATATATATATATATATATACAGTGTAGATACTATTCTATCTTTAAACTAGCATTAAGGTATCGCGATTTGATTGTAGGTGTAAATTATCTCACAAATGAATTTGGTGAAATCTTTTACTCATTTTTTTTGGCTTATTTTATTAATGGATCAAAAGTGATTTAGCGCAAAATGTATTTCATTATGTTTTGCTTTCTTTTTTTAACACAACTTACATATTCCTTAATAATAATGCAGTTCTATTCAATGAGTTGTTAAAATCTGCCTGAATAATTTACTTGTTATCATGTACATAGAGTAGATTATAAAAATTCATTTGGGACAAAATCTTATGAAACAACTATAAATATTTATGTTTAACGATTAAACACAAATGTGACTGTTAAAATCGTCTGCATCACATACTATTACATGGAAGGTGGGAGAGATGGTTGTGAGTAGGGTAAGGTAAGGAGATAAGCCATTCATCTAGCTAAGTTCATCAACCACATATTGGTGTGTGGGTTATCCCAAAGACATGAAACTTAGGAGTTGTTAGTCTTGGTTGTTATCTTTTATCACATTCTATGGAACTAAATTTAATCGATCTTTACTGGCTATTAAATATTCGTGAAAATCTTCAAAAGTCATGAGTGTAGCATATTTCACAAAGTGACAGTATACTAGTACTTCCATTTTCCGCTTACAAATCTTTAAAAATTAACGAATTAAAATGAGACTTTGGCTCCAAAGAAATTAAACATCATCAGCACAAAAAGCGAAGAAAAACATCAGATGACCATCTTCTAAAAGAACGGCTAGCGACGCAACTTCATTAAAAAAAATGTCAACTAAAACCATCAATAGAAGCAAAATCAAGTACAGGAACCAATAAATGGATCGTCCTGCCTTACGTAAAAGACATATCGGAAATCGCAGCACGATTACAGAAACCATTTGGAATAAATGTAGAACAAAAACTAACAGAATTACTTCAGTCAGTCCTCTGTAAAACCAAAAGACAAAATGATAAAAGAAGAAAAACCAAACACCACCTACAAAATAAACTGTTCACACTGCGAACAACACTACATCGGACAAAGTGAACATCCTCTTCAGCTTCGTCTACATGAACATCAATTCGAAGTCAAACGCTATCACATTTCTTCCCTCATGCAATTTATACGGACAATTACAGACATATATTCGATTGGAACAATGTTGAAATAGTGGATAGAGGGAGTACAAAGCACACCAGAGTACTTCTAGAAACTTAGCACTCAATTCAATCAATAATCAACAAGCACCGACATTGATCCGATTTATCGGTCAATCAGAAAAATCGTAGACAAACATAGGATCAATAAACAGATGAGTGTGGGATAAAATCAAAATGAAGGTGCAGACAACATGTTTAATGTCACTAATAACCAATCAAGATCGAGGTCAAGACGACAATCTACGAGTCATACACGGAGAAATTCGAATATTTCACTTCAATCTAAAGTTTATGCAGCTGATGTTGTTCAGTAGAACAATGGAAGCGCCACAACTAAAACATCCAGCTCAGAGAACAAAACTTCAACATAATATTTAGAGTTACTGACCAAATTATCAAGTATCAAGTATCAAGTATCTGAATATGTGATGCTCATCTTATAGTGGTTGAATTCCTAAACTTGTAAATATAGTGATTAAAATTTAAGCAACGTAAAAAATAACATTTGCCCATCTCGACATTTCTCTTACCGTTCTATCGCTAATATTTTAGTGGAATAGTTTCACATGCACAATGTTTATTGATGCTGACAGAATTTTAGTAGGATACATTATTTGATAAAAGTCTTAAAGAATTTCCATTCTATATATAGTATTAGTTTTGTTTCTTAAAGAAACTATTCATAAACTAGAAAACTGATAAAGCATACAACAAAACGTGAAAAATCCACAATATCTAAAAGTCAACGATCTGTAATAAACAAACAATAAAAAATTTAAAAACTAAATATTTTCCTGACGAGTCAATCAAAAGATCGATCTTTTTTGATTCTCAGTTCGTCAAATCGACTAACAAGACATCATTCATAATCACTTGTAAATTTTTACTGATAAAACACTATGCTTGTTGATGTCTTCAGATTCATTCCTCTTGAATAATTTATCCGTTATTCTAAGAGAAAATAAAACTAGTAGTCTATTTTAGGTGTATAGTATGGAGGCTAGGACGTTTTGATTACTTAATTACATGCGCCTGTTACCCCCAACCCCCCATGGCTTGGGCTGCCGATCAGTATTCTCCAGCCGACTCTGTTCTGGGCTTTCCTTTCTAGTTCTTTCCAACTGTTGCTCATTCTTCTGATGTGTGTCTCCAGTAGTTGGTGTAATGTGTTATTTGGTCTTCCTCTTCAACATTGGCTTTAAGGTTTCCAAGAGAGGACTTGTCTTGTGACGCAGTTAAATGCTTTCCTCAGCGTGAGTCCTAGCCGCCTACAGCGCTTCTTCCTGATTTCTTCTTCCGCTGCAATTTCGTTTGTTCTCTCCAAGAGTAGGTTGTTGTTGATGGTTTCTGGAAAGCGGATCCAAAGTATCTTGCGTAAATAACTGCCGGCAAACACCTGTGTCTTTTGGATGGTGACTTTCTTAGTTCTCTAACTTTTCGCTCCATACAGTAGGACTAGTTTGACATTTGTATTGAAAATTGTAACTATGATGGTTGGTTGAGAGTTGTTTTTAGTTGCAGATGTTCTTCAGTTGTGGAAATGCTGCCTTTGATCTGCTGATGCGCGTCTTCATATCTGCATCAGATAAACTTGTTGATTCTCCTAAACTTCTACATGAAGTGTGATTTAGTTGGTGCATGTTTTGTTGTTTCGGAGGAACTTACCTTTGTCCTTGTGTATGTTGAGGTTAACTATTGCAGATTCTGTTGCTAAACTTATCATCTTTTGCCGCATTTGTTGTTGGGTTTTGGACGGAAGAGCCAGATCATCTGCACAGTCTAGATAATCTAACTGCATCCTAGATGTCCGCTGTATCCCGTTCTTCCCCCTCCCAAGATTTTGACATCTTCATATATCCAGTCAATATGTGCAATTACTGTCTATCAAACAGCAAATCGACTGTCTCGTGTTTGTACGCTTCGCTACGTTTTGGTTGATATTCATGCTTGCATGCACAGCCGAATTTTTCACAGCTGAACACCTGGATTAAATCAAAACCTTTTCGTCTAAGGTTCTTCAACATAGATAAAAGATTTCAAACACTCATTAATTGATGTGAATATTTCTTTTCAGAAAAATTTGCTTATAAAAACTGATACGCCATTAAAATTGTAATCAAATTAATCAAAGAGAGATGTTTAAAATCCTTACGAATTATTAATTTACTGTATTAAAGTCCTTCATCTTTCACATTTTGATCACTTCTTAGAAACTAGTTATAGTTCCAATGTGTTTGTGAGTAAAGAAAAAATGAAATATATAATTATACATACATATAAATATATACCAATCCTAAAGTATCATTGTTTGTTTTTGTTAACTTGTGTATTTAGGCAAGTCAGTCAAAACTATTGGAACAACCCCATGGTACATGCAAAAAGAACACTTGATTCATCGATTTCATAACAGAGAACCAACAACTGATAATAAAAAATTAAGTTCAATCAGAGTTCATGGTGAGTTTCAACAAACAATTAGTTTTGTTATATAATTTGATATTGCTTCTTTTTTTTTTTAAAAAATTTTTTTTCACTTTGTTTTGAATTGTTTTGATACAGACAGTCAATAACCAACCTACACGGTACTTCATATTTATTAAACTACATTTGATAAACGATAAAATCAAATCTCATTTCTAATTCACACTATAGACTGACTGAAGTTTGGCAGCCATTGAGAACAAACATACATTAGATAACTGGTCTGTTTTAGTTCTGGGCTCTTTATGAATATGTACTTATAACACCTTAAGCGACAGAACTCAAGACTACCGCGTCCTATAATTACCTCATAACTGTCAGGCCACTGAGTCGTTATCCAGTAGTTCACATTTGTAAGTTCAGTGCGAATCTATGACTAGTGGAATTCGAACTGAGAAAAGTATCACCAGTGAATGACTAATGATCGCTCAATACTGTGAATTGACTTAGGGCTTAAGTACACCTGAGTATTAATGTATTTTAGCAATTAAAAATGTGCTGCAATTCGATATTTTCATATAAATCCTAAATGAAAGTTTGTTAATTTCTAAAAAATTCATAAAACTCCAAAATCACCCTGATAAGAGTAAATTAAAAACATTAGATTTTCCAGTATATACATTTTATTTCTGAAAGTTAAAAATCAACAATTATTAGACACTATTTTGATACTAAACAACTTTCATTTGAAAATATGATAAAACTCATTTTGTCTTCAAAGAAAATGTGAATTTTTCCGCTCTGAATTTATACACGAATGATCAAAGTTAAAGATTATTGTCTCAGTTAAGCTAATTTCTGTCATAAAAGTTACTGATTTAAATGTAATACTATAACCTAAGACGTTAACCTCTATAGTACATTCAAAGTATAACTAACTAACTAACAATAGATACAACCTTTTCTTTATAATCATTTATTATTACTTGTAACATCAGAAAATCTTCCCAAAGAATTGTTGAATTACATAGAATGATTTGTTAGAAAATTATTCGAACTTGAAGTTAGTTTCCTCTAAAGATTGATGCTAATGGAGGCCGGAGAGAAAAGTGTACAATTTTTCATTCCATTAGAGAAAGTTTCGAGTATTATTTAGAGTTAGACATTAACACCGTTGGATGCCGGCCCAGTGATCCGATGGTACGGCGGTCGCCTGCAATGCCGAAGGTCCTGGGTTCGAATCCTGTGAACTGCAGGAGTCCTAGATGCGCACTGCTGATGAGTCCCATACCAGAACGAAACGGCCGTCCAGTGCTTCCAGGTTTCTAATGGTGGTCTAACAATGATTGATTGATGATTTCAAATGTGTAAAAACGCAAAAACCTCCAAAACTCTGCCCCAAAATATTATTTAATCATAAATCTACAAGCTTCCTACCGATAAATGCATAAATTCTACATGGATTCCCATAACCTTAATGGTAAACTATGTCTGGTGGAGTTCACTTGTGAGACGAATTAAACTGGTAACATTGATAACAATAATGATTGCCTTATACAGTTTTTTTTCTCACTGATAAATTGAAATAGAGCAGGAACAACAAAAGTAGCGAAATAAAATGAATTCATTTTATTTCACAAATTCTTATCAGCTGCTTACAGTCTAAATGCAATAGTTATAAATGGAAAAAATCAGTGTACATACTTTATATCATAATGTCAGAAATGTTATTATCTATGAGGCTTAATAAAAGATAATAAATGCGAAAGATTATTTATATGACAAATTATATGGAAATTCTAGAAAAACGAATGATATTCAGAATTACATAATAACGACAGGAAGAGTAATGCTACTAAATACTAACAACAATAATAATAATAATAAGTTGGCGCAACATCTGAGGTTGATTAAAGTCAGACATTAAAACCTTTGCGTGCCGACTAAATGGTCTAAAGTTTAAGCGTTCGCGTATGAGACTGAAGATTCCGGGTTTGAGTCCCATAAGCCATTGTCGTGGATGCGCTCAGCTAACGATTCCCGGGCTAGGACAAAACAGCTGTTCAGTGCTTCCAAGTTGTCTAAGAACTGATAAAACTCGACAATAAAAAGTAACAAGAAGGGCTGACTATAAGATTAAATATATGAGTGAAGTTCAGATAAAACTAAAAAAGTTGAAAAAACAAATAGATATTTTCACTTGTAAACAAAATTGTCAAAAAATGTCATCAAGACAAAGCAAGGGTGACAACAGTGTCCTTTTGAATACATAAGTTTGGTTTACAACTTTTGATAGCAGTTACTTCGGAAAAACGAAGATGTTTGTCTATTAATAACTGAACATTTTTGAAATGTCAACAACATGTCCATTATCACGTAGATGACGAGAAATCGAATTTCTGAAGACAAATCGACCTTTCAGCCTCAGTTTTCGAGAAATATACTCAATGATGCAAACACTTATCCATCTTTCTGTTCTCCCAACTCATGTGCATCGACGAACACATGTAAATTGGTACACGAAATCGGAGGTAACGTAACGTGAGTATTTGCTCACTTTCGATTGTTTCAGTTTCTGTTTCACATACGGAGACCAGTTTTACTTCTGGATGAGAACTTTTTAATGCAGCTCTAAGTCTAGAATCAACCTTATCAAATATTTCATCACCTTTGAAACTAAGTCATCTGGAAACAGGTTTATTCTCCATCGTATCAATCTCTGTTACTTTTATTTTTACCTTCCCATTTTTATTAATAAACTTTCGTGGATAACCATTTTCCTTCAGGACTTTTTTAAAAATGATTAATGCCTCCTCAGTCCTGTCCTCTGAATATAATTTTTGTACTCTATCGAACAGAATTCTAACTAAAGCTCATTCATGACTTATCGGATGGAAGCTAATAAAATTCAAATAAAGTCCATTACATGTGTCCTTTCGATGAATAAATCAAAGAATTCGACTGTCGTCATTACCTTGAATACCAAGGTCTAGAAAGTGAAAGTTATTGTCCTGCTTTTGCCCTTTTGTAAATCTTATATTTAAATGTGCATGATTGAGAGAATTCAGCAATATTGGAAGCACATCAGTGATTATTGTGTCATCAACATACCTGACATACAGTTAAAGCCCGTTTATGATAGTCATCATCTTTGTTTTTAGTTGTCCAAAAATATGATATTATTATTATTATTATTATTATTATTATGACATAACAATCCCGTTCTTATCATTATTACGTCACTTAAATACCATCCTTATTTTTCACTTGAACACTTTGTACAATTCTTTTATATTTATTATCGTTTATTAAGCCTCATAGATGACAACATTTCTGATATTATGATATAAAGTATAAACACTGATTTTTCCAATTATAACTATTGTATTTAGGCTGTAAGCAAATGATAAGAATTTTGAAATAAAATGAATTCATCTTACTTTGCTACATTTGTTGTTCTTGCTCAATTTAAACAAATGATTGCGGTATGATACAATAAACTGAATGAAATATAAACTATAGACTGCTGAATTCGACTAATCGATCTGATCATCATTGATTAGAAACATCTTTTATGACTAAAATAACCATAGATTAGCCACTTAGTAGATATGACATTGAATTTCCACCATCGAATGTTAAGAAAAACTTTAATCAATAAGTTCATAAAATATATCAGAAAACGTATGAGTTCACCCATCATTTCTCAATGTTTCAGAAAAGTGCGTTATCTAGCATTTTCAAACATTTTTTACTTTCATTCAGTCGATTAATGTAGCATCTGAGAGTGTTATTTTCACTGAGGATTTCATTTTAGCCGACTAAAGTTATCTACATACATTTTTAATGAATAGGACACCACAACGCATCCTAATTTAAAGGATGAAAAGGCATAAAAGTTGAAATTAGCCCCTGAAATTTAAATACACAAGGAAAATTATACTCTTGTATGCAGCGTTCACTTACTATGTTAGGGGAAAAACGCCAGAAAATGCATAATATTGCACACATATTACGAATTTGTGAACATGTATCCTATCTTCAAAGAAGTAATTACAGGCTTTTTAATAATATACTAGATCTTTTTCTAAATTAAACTTTGTTCAGGTCAAATAAAATATATAGTGATATGGGGCTAATCACCAATAATCGAAACAGGAAAAAACTCCTTTTTTAAACTATCAGCGGAGGATCACTAAACAGACTAACCGATCCTAATTCAACAAATTATTATTGTGATATTTGTCAAATACTTAATCAATATATATATATATATATATATATATATATATATATATATATATATCTGCCATTTGTTTTAAGCGATATATAATTAAAATTTCAAATCTAACCTTCTTGTCCATATTTTTGACCTATTTCATAACATTTTGTTTGTCAATAAACAGAAAAATAAGCTTCTTTTTTATTTAAAGGATACAAAAAAAATGTCCTAATTGATAAATTTCGTCAAAACTGTCAGAACTGTTGATCCTTGTCTCCAAAATATTCTGTAGTATTACTATTAAATAAACCAAAAAGGATAGGGGTAATATAAATTCCATCGATGTGTCATATATTTTTTTGTAGTCATTCAAAATCATTATCTTTCAATGACAGTAGAATAAATGTTTTAATTTATTCTTTCAGACCCTATTAAGAATAATGACTAGATATTTTATCTGTCAAAATAGATATTAATCAGTGAGTGAACTAACTAGTAGGGTTTAATTTTGCTAATATATCTAGTTATAAATATATCCTGTTATAGTGAAATAAATTCACTAATATCATGAGTTAGTGCCATGCATTTATGTGAATACATAAATATTGATTTATTTATTTACTTACTAGATATAAAACTGAAAATTCAGTATGATGAGAAGTAGCCAATGCAGAGGTTTTATTCGGGGAAGTGATGAACTACTTGATAACCAGCATACAAAGAAAATGAAAGTTACTGAAACTTTATAAATTAGCTTCATTATACAGTCTAACTTAAAAGTGCTTGTTCAGCTTCATATGTCGATAGATATGAATTTTCAAACAAATCAATTCCCAAAACATAGTTAAATGTTTTGAAATCAGAATTTTGTATTGTCTAAGTGTGTTACGAACTCGATTATTTTACTTCAGAAAGAAGGCAGATGATCCAACTCTAAGAAAAGTTTAAGTAAGAACGATATCGCCTAACTCTACACTTTCAATGTTTTTGGAGTGTAAACAAGTTTCATAACTATATTTAATGAATGAATTCCTGTCTCCGACTAATTGGATCCTTAAGTTTATTAATTTTACTCAGATTCATTAATTATTCATTCAAATGTAGTTTAGTTTGTTAACTGGTTGTTAAGTTAAGATCAATACCCATCACCTATTCTAGTTGGTTACAGGATAGTTCTCAGTCTTTATTATTCAGTGTAAAGTCATAGCTCGTAGAGAATGGATGATAATAAGCATAAAACATAAAACTGGATCTTCTTGTTCATTGATTACATCCATTGAACAGTGAATAAGTAAATTTTTCCCAATTTGCATTTAGGTAACACTACAAGTTAATTCAAATGATAACAAATAAACTGTAAATTATTATTAGCTAATGATTTCTTTCAAAAAGTAAATGAAAAAAAAGAACTTCTGGGTACTACAATTGAAACTTTAAGTTGGTGGAACATCAGAATGCTAGCGTTATATACTTTGAACATAAATTCGAGTCAATCACATTTTCAAGTATCAAAAAACGATGGTGGCAGATTCTAGGAAAAACATAGTTAAACACACGTTGAGCATAGTAGAATCATATCAAAAAATGTTTATTTATCAATTAGTAACATGAGAAAAGACAATAATTGACATGTTTCTTAATTGTATTGATTTATTTTCGAAATCATTAAGGCAATAAAAAATATTCAATATGAATTAAAGAACTAAATAAATTCTTTGTATACTTTCATTTTCCCTTTCCTTGTGTTATTCCTTGAAAATCTTTTAAAAAAGAGTTTAATCAGATATTGAACTTTTAAGATAAAATACTCTTATTTATGTGATCATGTTTTCAAAAAGATACATACATAAGTCAACTGGGAAAAGGCTGTCCTTTGAACATAGCGTAGATAATAGGAGTCTTATTTTCAAAAACCGTGATTCGTTTGCGTGATCACATTTGAAACATAATACTGAATACAAGTTGAGCCAATGAACAAAAGTAGAACTTCATGAAAAGTTTTATTCACCTACTGTAGAAACATATATGGCTGAATACATTGTATACATTGTACATTATGAATCGATCATTGTTAGACCACCATTAGAAATCTGGAAGCACATGAAAGCTGTTAAGTCCTAGTACCGGAATCATCAGTGGTGCGCATCCATGACCACCGCTCGTGGAAATCGAACCCAGAACCTTCAGTCTTGCGTATGAACGCTTGTAGCATATTTTAACCATAATTATTAACTTGATATTAATCACAGGTTGACCTATAAAATCAAGAATCCATGACTTATCATGGCATAATCTCACAAATTGACCTAAGTTAATAATTTTGACCGTTGATTCCCATCTTAGAGGCACAAAAGTAACACGTTCATTGTGAGATATAAAGGTCTTCGATACCATTCTTGGTGGTACTGTATATATATATATATATAAAATACTAAGAAGTTTTAAGTTTAGCTATTCTGTTTTCAATCGTTTTTCGATTTCCTGCACAAGCTAACATCATTATCGTTTGCGATGTTTACATATATGTATATATATATATATATATTTTTTATTTTTTCCTTTTTTCATGTTTATAAAACCTACTTTCCATTATATGCTAATAATTTAGATGAAGAAGTTCCTGTTGTTCCAATGTCTGTTGCTGTCCTCATTGATCCAGAGTTGGCCTCTGAGCATGCGGATGCTAGTGATAAAACAGAATATGTTCATAGTTTTTGAAAAAAAAAATTCCGTTTTAGAACAAAGTGAACAATGATATAAGAAGAGATACAATTTTGATCACTTTACATTTTTGTCATTATTACTATCATAAATAACTTCACTCAATATATGATATTTTAATTAGCTTCCGAACTGCGTTGTGCAGACAAGTTGTGATTTAATTTTGTATAACATATAATACAATCTCTTAGAAACAGTGATATGTGAAAATTTCTGTTGGCTCATTTTTTTTGACAAAGTACCGTTTACTTAAAAAACTCAGGAAGTTGTAGGTGAAATTATACCATAATATAAAAATTGAGTGACTTTGGAAATGACCTCGACATTTCTAAGCTCTCTATCGACTTATCAGTATAAAGACAGTAGAAGTAAAAAATCTGTTTTAAAAATGACATTGAAACTGATCGCATGTGTTACTATTTTTAGCCTAGAAGTTTCCAAGATTTGCAGTCTGTCTTTATTATTTTAACGTTTACTAATTTAGTGACAAGAGTTAATTTATTTAAAGAAGAGAAAAGAATACATTTGAATACTTTTAAGTGATCTCACATACGTTTTTCAATATTTGTAAGCCCAATCAACAAAATACGTTATGAGATTGCAGTCTAAGAGGAATGTTATGTAAGCTCTAACCCGTTTTAAGTGATTCGTAAAAACCACCAGCTCCTGTAAATGAGTTGATTATTATACGATTTGAGCGAAAGTTTATTTTGAACAGCTGAAAAATGGACTGACCGTCATATACCTACATTTCAGGCCAGAGCTTCACCGAAATAAGCCCATGTTTCCCATAATCTTGTTTTTCTCATTATTTCCAGCTTCCTTACTTGCTCACCTACATCTGTGTTACCTCTCCTGAAGCATAGACTGCCGACCGGCATTCTTCAACCTGTTCTTTCTTGGGCCTAGTTGTTTCCAAATGTTGTTCATTCTTCTAGTATCTATCTCCATTTCTCGACATAATCTGTTATTTGGTCTTCCAAACTTCACCTAGTTTTGAGGATTCTAAGCGAGGGCTTATCTTGTGACTCAGTTTCTCGGCTACGTAAGATTTAAATAAAGTTACTCCATTCAAAGAACTTCGTAAGGCAAATAGTAATCATTACTACCGTAAAAATTTCATTTAAAAAGTAATCAAAATGACTATCTGATCAGTCGAACATTTTAGTGTTGTTACAGCGAAATTCGTTTTAATATTAAGCTTCTTTACACAGTGAAGTCCAAAGTTCAATGTAAGCCAAAACCATCTTTCATAAATATCGATCGTTTAAAGTAAGTTACAAGTCTTAGTTAGAATCTTCAATAGATTCAATAAACTTTTCAAAATTCAAGTATTCTTTTCCTTTGAACTAAGAAATTGTTTACCAATAACCTAAATCAATTTCATTTGCTAGAAAATTGCTTTCATAGTTTCATTTAACATTTAAGTCATGCATTCTTATTTCATTAAAAAATTCAACTAATGCCAACTGTTAATATACCAAGTTATCTTCATGCTCCTAAATTTTATGAATTGAACGAAATCTTCATTGTTGATGAAGAAATAATGAGAGATTTGAAAGTTTCTATGGATTATCTCATTACAGGAAATTTCTCATGAATACAGTTAAAGGATTGAATCATTTACAATTATTCTTTACTCTTTAATATTTCGACTACTAAAATGTAAATAACGTTTTATAAAAATAAAAATGTTTTGTATTTTTCGGTTAGAGTTTTGGAGATTTGTGTTTCTACACATTTGAAATCATCAATCAATCATTGTTAGACCACCAATAGAAACCTGGAAGCACTGGAAGGCCATTTCGTCCTGGTATGGGACTCATCAGCAGTGCGGACCCACGACTCCTGCTCCTATCAGGATTCGGACCCGGGACCTTCGGTATTGTGCGCGAACGCCTAACCATCGGACCAATGAAGTTCAACCATGTCGAGTGTAGGCAGTAACTACCAAAGACAAATGGGTGAGGTAGCGCAAAATCCGTAGATCAATTAGAGTAAGACACTAACATCGTTGGATGCCGGCCGAGTGGTCTAATGGTTAGGCGTCCGCGCACAATACCGAAGGTCTCGGGTTAGAATCGTGTGAGGTGCAGGAGTCGTGGATGCACACTGCTGATGAGTCCCATACCAGGACGAAATGGCCATCCAGTGCTTCCAGGTTTCTAATGGTTATTTAACAATGATTGATTTATGACTTTGTATTATTAGCATTATTTTCACATCTTTTATTTGTTTGTAATTTTCTGCATCTTTCCGTTTATATATTTTTTTCACTATCGAATTATGTACACACTTCTTATTACATAATGGTTTTCATGTTTAGTAATGATTATTTTATGTCTATTTATCCACGTTTGACCTACTATTAATAGAACTTTCGTTATTGTATTTTATTTTTCTTACTACTTACAGTACACCCGTCTTCCTACTATCAACTTGTACTTTTGCCTATTATGTGTAGTGACGTAATCTTTTTCATTTCATTGTGATTATTGACTCTTAAATTGCCTTGACTGGTTCAACATTTTCATATAAATATTCATGTATCTTAGAGTAAACCGTGATGATGATCGAAGTGAAAAAAAAACTGTTCGTTTATATGTGTTGTACAGTTGTGTCAAAATGATTAAAGTAGGTGTTGTTTTTCTCAAAAATGAAACAATTTCTAATCACGCAGCTGTTTTAAAAGATTTTCAAGTGTTTTTTGTGGTTGAGTTGTTAAACGGATTTAATACTTATTACTAGCAAACGAAGAATACATCATTTTTGATAAATCTTTAAGCAGATCTTTTGTATTTACCACGTAAAAAAAACATCTGTTGTTTATTAAATACAACAAAAATTCTTGCAAATCGGTTCGAATTCGTTGACTGTTACTTTCACTGTTAACATATTTTTATGTTTTGTACTTGATGTAACGCCAAACCACTGTACTAATGACACACCGAACGTTAGACTTCCACCGTTCAAAAATAAGAAGACGGAAGACGTTGGAGAACACTTATTATCAGAATCAAAAATGTACAATAAAACATGCGTATTTATACAATGATATAAATGTCGTTAAATATTTTGAACATGAATCATCATGAACATTAATCATATAGTTCATCATTAATCAAATAGTTTATCATGAACATTAATCAAATAGTTTATCATGAACATTAATCAAATAGTTCATCAATCCACAATGTGCGTGGCTTTCTTCTCGATTGACTATCCCAACACATATTCAGACGAAATGTTGAAAATGTTTTAGATAATATCATCTAATCAGTTTAAGTCTCAGATCAGTCGTATTAAAAGAGGACCGATTTGTGTTGTGATCTCAACACAGATAATTAAAATTAACAAGATGAAAAGATGTCAAAATATTCATAGTATTCAAAGTATTCACAGATTGTCAACTTGAGGAATATGGTCCAAATCTAAGGAAAGTTTTATAAAGATCATATTTATTAGAATTACGCTTTTTGTTATTTTCACAGTGAACCCAGTAATTACATTGCTCACGTATCTAATTAACACTAACTAAAAAATAAGTATGAAATGAATGCATATAGTGTTCAGTTAGATAAGGTAAGTAATTCTGTCTCAGTAATTTCGAAGCGGTCGGTATTCAATATGTTCTCAGACTTCGTATGTTGCTCGGCCAAATAACCGTTACTAAAATAACGCCTCACTGTTTTAGAAATCAAAAGGGGAATACGAAGTGTTGAATACGTTCGTTTGGTGCACCACAGATAGACCACCAAACCACAGGCACACAGATAAAATCAATAAGAGAGTGAGCAAATCAAAGAATGAATCAAGAAGATTAAAATGTACATACATATGCACAGAAAAATGGATGAGTCAGAGAAATATTTAAGAGGCTAACATTGAAGCGAATGAGATGAATATGTACGTAGGCGGTAAGCAATGTTCAGTCATACTGCTCATACAAACCCGACAATAATCAAAGCCAAGTGTATATACAAGCCATTGCTATACAAATGACTCAAATAAATAAGTTAATCAAAATGTCTAATCAGATTAAATGTGGACAAACTGAACAGATTCGTCGCAGCAGACAATGATACGAAAGTGTCTGTTTTTGCGAGAAAAATGTTATGATGAACCTATGTAGGTATACGAAGTCCTAACGACTGACCAAATTTAGATCTACCAGTACGGCCTCAAATACTGTCCTCAAGTATCACATATATCAGAATACAACACCGTTGGATGACTTTGTTTATGGGGTCAAGTACAGAAGGAGTTAAGGAATTATAAGCTTCATATATATTTATACAGTTAGGTCTAATAGGAAACGATATTGAAGTCTGTGACATTGATATTTAGGACGACCATAATATTGACCAGTAGGAGTTGACCAATAATAATAATAATAATAATAATAATAATAATAATAATAATAATAATAATAATAATAGAATTACACTTACAAAAGTATTTCTCTTTCGATATTTGATGAATATCCTAACAAAAAATTCAATAATTGGAAAATACCAAAATTTGTGAACGATAAAGTTATCTAGTTCATTTACGTTCGTGAGGCCTGATGAATACAGATCAAAAAATATATGGCGATATTTTCAGGTCGTAACACCTTAACATCCGAATACATAAAGCGTATCTAATCTAATAATAGATCAGTTAAAATCTTCGACGTCCATATATGGAGCGAAGAAAAATAACTGATATTCGAAATGGTGGAAGAAATTATCACTTCCAAATCGTAGCTATATATCCTTGCGACCATCTGACTCTTCCTCCATATCTAGTCATCACTAGACTTTCTTCACTTTACTTCGTTGCTGTCGCTGATGGGTGGAACTGGCGTTTCGGTGATTCGGTGGATTTCGAAGGATTTGTGCTTATTAGCTATTCATCGATTTCGATAAAGGTTGGTTTAACCCGGTCTGTGCTGATCGCACCCAATTTCCCAACTCTGTCTACCGTGATATTTTCGCAGTTTCTTGTGATCACTT